CTACCCTCTAGGTAGGTTTTACTTATATTATATAATGTCCCTCTAAATCCCATGCAATACAGCTTTCTCAATAAAATGTCAGTGCTAACTACGTCGAAGGCCTTTCTCAAGTCAACAAAAACTGCAACCTCAAAAAGCCCCTCATCCAGTGCCCTAGATACATAGTCAACAAGGTCTACAGTCGCACCAAGTGTACTGCTATGTTTAACGAAACCATACTGAAACTGATCCACTTCTATATATTTATTAAGAAAAGACAACATTCTTTTTTTAATTATTTTCTCTATAATTTTTGAGAAGACACTTATTACTGCAATTGGTCTATAGTTATTCATATGTTCTCTGCTCCCAGATTTAAAAATTGGACATATTTTGCTAATTTTAAGCTCTTCTGGAAAAATACCTGTTCTTAAAACTACATTTACTAACTTTGTTATGATTTTTATAACATCAGCTCTAAGGTTTTTTATGTCTCTGGCTGTTACCCCGTCATGTCCAGGAGCAGAGTTTTGTTTCAGTTCAGATATGATCTCGCCAATCTCCCGTTCATCAGTCAGTCCCAAAAAAACACTATTTTCACATGTAATATCTGTGAAGGTAGGATTCAAACCCAATGCTTGAATTTCGTCATCAAGCTCATCTACAATATTCTTTCCTATCTCTGTAAAGTGTTTGTTTAAATGTTGTACAATGTCATTTATATTAACTATCTTATCAGAATCAACCAATAAACTGTCAACATGAGTTTGTGCATTTTTACTTTTAAAGAAGTCATTGATAAAGTTCCACTGCTTTTTCCCATTTTGTTCTGAAATAATTATTTTTTAAAGATTTTATCATATTATTTATTTTATTTTTTATTGTTTTAAAGTTTAAATCTAATTGAATATTTTGGGGATTTTTTTTTTTACTTTTATATAATTTATCTTTTTGTTTTAAGTCTAGTAACTCAGCGTTAATCCATCCATTGTTTTTACGTATTTTGATTTGTTTAATATGCTCAGAGTCTTTTTTGGAGGTTTGTATAATGTCAATGAGGTCTTGGAATGACTCAATTAATTTATTTTCAATATTTCGGTTGAATACAATTTGAAACTTTCGATAGTCTATACTTTTAATTTCATACAGTTCTTTTGGCTTGTGGGTCTTTATGTTTTGTCTTATGGAAAATGTTAGGAGTTTGTGATCTGATAGTGATATATCTTCAACTTTCACGGGGTCGTGGATATCAATGTTATTAGTGGAGAGTACATGGTCTATAATGGTTCTTGACTGGTCTGTGACACGAGTAGCATTTTCTACACTAACCGGATTTTGAATTTTAAAGTTATTGACAGTTAATATGTTTCTATATTTTACTATGAGATTAGCGTCATTATCCAACAGATTTAAGTTTAGATCCCCGACAATTACATGTTTTGTGGGGTATTTACAGAGCAGACTATCAAAGTACTCTAAGAATTCCGGACCTGAATATGATGGTGGTTTATATATCGCACTCAGTTTAAAATTATTTTCACATAAGGTGATACATACCCAGTTAATAGAGTCCTTCTTGCTGGATTTATCCACCTCTTGAACCTTAATTCCTTCTCTCACATATATTGAAGCACCACCACCTCTTCCTTCCCTAACGCAGTGCACTGCTTGATAGCTATTTATGTTGTATAGTGGCGCATCCTCTTCATTAAGCCACGTTTCCACAAGCACTAACACATCGCAGTTCTGGTTTATGACAAAACATTGAATCTCATCCAATTTGCTTCTTAAACTCTGTATATTTGCATATGCAATGGATATTTTACGTCGAGGCTTTTCTAGTTTTTTAACTGTTTCAGATCTTGCACAAGAATGACTTTACTATTTTCATCCTTCCGCATCAGAATATTTCCATTGTTCATCCATAAAAACTTAAAATCCATATTTTTCTTATAAATTCTCGCCGCTTTGAATAATTCAAGGTTTGTTGCAGTCAAATCGTGATTTAGATACACCTTTTTGTTTTCACTGTATCCTAGGTCTTAAGAATGACAACCTATTACGGCCCTTAGATAAGAATAGAGTGTTTGCCACAAATAGCTCCATCTCTCTCTCGGATCTCTCTTACTAATGTTGGCCGCAAGAAAACGCTGTTCGAGAATATAGCCAGGGTCGGTCCATTAGTGAAATGTCATTGATATACTTACATATTATCTACCCATTTTTTATGTATTGTGTTTGGTAGGTAATTTTAGGAATTTCAAGGTATCTAAATGATTTTGTCTGGTTCCCGTATTATTTACCTGTTAATGTGAATTAGTATACATAATATATATTTTATTCGCTTTGTCAATAAAAAATCATATTTTTTGGACATTAAAGCATATTGAGCATGAGTATGAGTATTGTAGGACTCGCAAGATATAAATAGTAGTAAGTCGTTTCAAAATTTATAATATAAAACTACGCGATTTACAGGATGGCAAAAATGTTATGCCAAACTTACGGAGTTTATACATTGTCGTGATTTTTTTTTTGCATATACACCCCTGGTCAAAAATGAGCCCATTGGGCTCCAGAGTAATATTTGGTCGAAATACTCCGGTATTTTATCAGGAAGTAGTTTAATAAATAAAATTATATTGGAGATTAGAGAAAAAAAAAATCATGTGCAGCGTCGTACACATGTTAAGAAGTGGAACTTCTTAAAAACATAATATACCCCCTTATACAACTTTTAGACTTGGCCCATGCATCGAAGTAAAGACGAAGGACCACACAAAAGGTACGCGCATCTGTAGTCATGTCACAAGGGTGTCAGCGCTTGACAATAATACGCAATTCTCTTTGCTTGTAATCCTTGGTTTGTATCAATCGTTCGTCGGCTGTCATTGTCAAGTATCGTCACTCCCCAAATATATGGCTGTCTTTCTCCGTCTCTCTACGTTATATCTTTCTTTTTTCTCGTCTAACGAATTTTGCCAAAACGTGACACTTTCTTGAAATTTCATTCTATAATTCTCGTCCCAAATATCATATAAGACCGCCGTCTAAGAAGTTTCACTTCGAAAAAAAAAATCATGTGCAGCGTCGTTCACGTGTTAAGAAGTGGAACTTCCTAAAAACAATTCCACTCTCATACAACTCTTGGGCTGTATGAGTCGGGGAAAAGACGAAGGACCCCACAAAACGGAGACGCGCATCTGCAGTGAAGTCACAAGGGTATCGGCGCTTGACATTAATAGGCAATCCTCCTTCCTTATAATTCTTGGTTTGTGTCAATCAATGGCTGCCTTTCTCCGTCTCTTTACGTTATATTTCTCTTTTCTCTCGTGTAACGAAATGGGCCCCAACGTAACGCGTCTTTCAAATCACTCTCCATTCTCGTCCAAATATCAGACCGCCGCCTAAGAATTTTCACTTAAAAAAAAAAGCAGTAAACACTTTTTTGTCTCCTGATGCAAGTTTATCAGCATTGCATTCCTAAACTGGATGTTGTTGACCATCTATTTTCGTGCTAATCGCAGCGAGTCAACAGATTATGCGGACATGCATCTTATTCATGGTATGAAGTAAGATACATTGCTAGAGAAACTGAGCGGCTCTATGCGGAGCGATTTTCTAATCGCCGACATCCGTCTTGAACACACATTTTCGGCAGTTCATAGTGCACTATGAGCAAAAGGCAGTTTTAAACCAGGTGGAGGAACCAGACGTCCACGAACTACACGAAAAGTTTCCTTGGAGGAAGAGGTTTTGCATCAAATTGCTGAACAACCTAACACCAGCACGCGTGCGTGCAACGTGCAATAGCGAATCAAATAAATGCTGCCCACCAAACCGTGTGGCGGGTACTTCACAAGCAGCTCCTTACCATCTTCAAAAAGCGGCAGCTCTGAATCCGCAAGATTACCAGCCCCGAGAATATTTTGTGCCAATGGTTTTTCCAACTTATCGCAAACGAACTGGTTTTTGGTTCAATCATTCTATTCTCCGATGAGGTTTGCTTCACTAAGGACGGATGCTTCAATAGTCGCAACAGCCACATAGAGGACGATCACAACCCTCATGCCGCATGGATGAGAGCTCATCAAAACCAATTTGCCATTAACATAAGGACAGGTATTATTAGCGACTCTACACACATTTTCTGCGACGAGTACTTTCTGAGCCATTGGACAATGCTCATATTTCTATGGCTATACGAGCTAGAATGTGGTTCCAACATGACAGAGCACTTGCACATTTACCCGTGATGTGCAGGATTACCTAAACCCACATTCAATAGTTCTCATTTTGAAGTTTTCATTTTTCGTCAACTTTAATAAAAAATTATGACATAATAACATCTTTAAGAATCAAAAGATAACAACCAAATTGAATCTGAAGCCAAAACGGTCATTTTATTAACTTTGGCACAACCTTTTTGAACATCCTGTATAATTCAATACCGAGTTTTTCCAGATAAAAAAAAAGCGTACGTACTACTTAGGAACATAATGGTTCACAGCTGCGTCAAGTGTTGACGACAATAAAGTTTAAAATCATAGACCGCTTGAAGACAAAAGTTGTTATTGTTGATAACGTAACTTTCAATAGATCTTCGGAATCCATGACAGTACGAATATTATCAGCGGCACCAGAAATAGGGAGAAAACGGTGTTTTCTTACTAATCCATTTTCAACTTAGTTTTTTTGTTTATCCAGAAGAAAAAAATGTTGAATTCGTTTTTGATAATATTATAGCGTGTTAAAGGTGTTTTTTCAATAAACAAGTTATTGTTGAGTGGAATTTGAATTCTTTTACTTTGGAGTGAAGAGATGAAACTAAATTTTTTTATCTTATCTAAACTTCAAGCCCACAACCTAATTAATGCCCTAGAATTTATTTCATCTAACAGAACCTCCATTCCCAGTAATTCGTTAGAGAAAATCATAGAAATTGCATTTTTATTCTCGTAGAAACCGTTGTCATTGTAAAGGCACATCATATTTAATTTATTCTTTCCCTTCGTTCTTACCTTTTTCTTCGATAAATTGCAAATGTGCTGAAGAGTACGACAATCAATAATATCAGCAAAATAGATGCTGGAATTACAAAGAAAGTTTCGTTCCAGAAGCCAGTTCCAGTTTCAGTTTCAATTGGTTCTTCGATCATTTTGGGAAGCATAGGGACACGACCTGAAGCAAGAGAATAATAAAACATTAGAAAGAAACAATATAAGAAAATTTATTTAGCTTTTAATATGCAGTATTGCAATTGAAAATCAGAAATATTATATGTACGGCAGTCGAAATTTAAAAAAAAAGTGTAGTATAACATACCCGGGCTTGTTCAGCAAGATTGAAAGGTTTAAATCTTTATTTGCAATCATATACCTATGTAATCTTGTCATTACTGACTTTTTGAAAATTTGGAAGTGACACTTTACCTGTGTCACTTCCCTCTTCGATTTCCCTATTCGACTTGCCTCACCGATTTCCCTCACTCGAATTTATTTACCTTTGCTGGCAACAATGAAAAGATGTCAGGTAAAAACGTCAAAGCAGCGAATGACACATTTTGGCATGTTTGTTTTATTTTTTTAATATTAAAAAAATTTCTAGTATATTACATTACTATTATTATCTCTTCTTTCAACAAATCTTCTGAAAAACGAAATGAAAAACAAATAGGACCTACGTTGTGGAAACTTACTCAATTTTACTTACTTGACATGCGCCCGACAATAGCAAAATTAGGGAAATTTGAGGAAAGTTGTGATATGTAAAATAAACCAAAAATTTGTGAAACGTCTAATTTATTATTAAAGAAAATCGTACCGTTCTCAACCTGGAACTCACGAGGGGAAAGAGCACGGCAGAGAAACCCTCGATCTCAATTCCTCAAAAATCAAAACACGCTGTGTCATTTTAATGAAAATTTAAATTGTAATTCAATAATCAATATTCAGGTACCGTTCTTGTGCTAAAATTTTAATTCCACACACCACATCCAATCAACACCACCTTTATTCAATACTGAAGAGTTTTTGGTTAGTTAGCCAGTCTGCCAACAGGTACTGAGGTCCCCTTCGGGAGGCTACTCAGCTATAGTTGTTATTTTGAGCCAATATCTCTAGACTGATCTTTCAATTTGTTTGCTAGGATATTCGCTCGTCAGGGCTGGAAAGTGTTAGTAGTTTCAACAAGGCGCTTATGCACGTTCTGAATACTAAAAATAAAAATCCCAGCACAAAAGACAGCACATACTTTTTCTTAGCCACCAAGTCTGGAACCCGATCCTCAAAAACGCAAGAAAGATCCCATTGAGTACAGAGAAAGTTGAGATTAGCCACATGCCGCAAAGCCCCGCCCCTCCCTCACCACAGCCCCTCACACATAAATACAACTTACGGTCGGGAACGCGTCAGTCTGCTACCAGAATCGGACATGGAAGCACCTCTGAAGATGCTAGCCACGCGTGCTAGCGAAATTTCAGGAAGAAATTCCAACTTACGACGGCTATTAAGCCCGAATGAAAACCCCTTTTCAATAATACTTGTATAAATTAAACTCTCAAAAACAAAATGACATTTATTCAACTGACCTGTCAATGCTCCTTATGACCCACAAAATAATCACAAATTGGATTGAACAATCAGTTTAATACAAAATAAAAATTGAATAAAGAAGACTGGCGGACAACATTGTTTCCTCTGGTCTCTAATTTTCTATCTACCCTTCGGTCGATACGCTTTTTGTGTGGCTGCTTTGACAGGCTGTAAATCCTAAACGGTTAATTTTTTAGGAAAACCGATCTCACATTCTTGTCTAAGATTTTCATAAACTATCATTTGGCACCAACTTTGAATTTAACCGGAGATTAAATTTCTTACCGGAATTTTTCATCATGGATTAAATTTAAAGTTGCTGTTAAATTATAGTTTATAAAATCTAAGATAAGAATGTAAGATAGGTTTTCCTCTAAAATTAACGGCTTAGGTTTTACGACCTGTCAAAGTTGCAAAAAAGTCAATTTTCAACTGTCAATATTTCCAAAACAATTAAACTTAGGGATTAAAATTTAGTACCAAAATCTATGGGATTAAAAACCCTCCAAAATGATGTATTACTTGGCCCCCACTTGCCATTTAAGATTTTCTAGGGGGTGGTTGTGGGGGCTGGAGGGTTGAGAGGGGGAGGTGAATTCTGCATAAAAACTCACCCCCCCTCAAATTATAGTTGATGTGTTTCAGGGATTTTTACGTTTTTTTTTTAACTCCGAGATAATAGGGGTGCTGAATTTTAAAATGAACACCCTGTATATGATCAATAACCAGAAATTTCTGAACATTATTGATAGGTAGCTTTTCAAAATTTGATCAAGCCTCTCCTGTGAATACGAAAACAGCTGTAGAGATAACATCACAGTTATTGAAACACTGTAGTGATCATGGAATACATCAAAAAATCACATCAGATAATGGAGCAGAGTTCAAAAATGCTATAATGACAGATCTTTGTACATTATACGAAATTGAGTTTCATTACACAACTCCAAGAAATCCAAACTCGAATAGTCCATTTGAAAGATTCCATTCGACACTACGTGAAAGTATAAGGAGTTTAAAACTCCAGAATCCGAATAAGAGTATTATTCATCAAATGACAATCGCTATATTGAATTATAACAACAGTACTCATATTACAATGAATCACACCCCACATCAAGTGATCAGAGGAGATTTGAACTATGCCATACCCATTGAACAAACAGAAAATAAACTAACAACTGACTATATAACAAGTTTGGCAGAATCCCTTGCAAAAACAAACAAAGTCTTTAGAATCACGCAATAAAAATCTTGAACCCGAACCAGAATTACAAGATCCAATCTTCGTAAAACAATTTAATAGAGACAAGATAAGTCCGCGTTATGAATAATTTATTTCAGGTACTCCGAGATGAATCCCTTAGTATTCCTTACTCTCGTTGTAGTCACCCAAGCGTATACATTGATGACGCTAGAAAATCCTATTTTACCAATGTCCTTAGGAAATTATCTGAGACAGTAAATGAAACAACATGCTCAAACCAATTTGTTACACTGTTTCATACAAATATTGAAACCAGTTATTCTCAAATTAAGATCATGAAACAAGTCATCAAAACATATCAAGACCGAAAACGTACTAAAAGAGGTCTATTAAATTTCCTATGCACAGCACAAAAATGGCTCCACGGAACCCTAGATCCTGAAGACGGCGCAAAACATGATTCTTATATCCAGACGCTCAATGTTAATCAGAAGACTCTCAATAAAGATCTGAAAACACAAGCTCAATTATTGAAACAAGTTACAAAAACATTTTACGATAAATTTATAACTATTGAATCTAACCAAACGGTTATCACAGGAAAATTACAAATAGTCTAGAAGGTAGTGACGATTTTCGGCACTTATTTTCCCACTCAGACAATATGGATAGAATTGTAGGGTTAGTAATTTTTAGCAAAATTCATATATTTTCAAGGAGGGTTTTCCGATGGGTTGAGGCGCAAAATGCGTTAGAGCTTACGAATGCACGGCCCTTTTTTTCCAGTGATAAAAATAGGTCTACCAATGAGAAGTATACTGAAGTTACGTAAAAAAATAGTCCAGCTAATCTGTGAGTATGGATAATACGCCTGGCAATTGAAAAATTGAAGATCCGAAAAATTTCAGCCAGACTCACTTTCCACTATCTAAGATAAGCCAAATTGCTATTTTCATATACTTTATGTTCTATTGTAGTGGATGTCAATATCCAAAATAATAAAATAAGGAATCTAATTGATCATGTGCAATAAGCAATAAATTTTGCACAATTAGGAAAAATGCATTAAGTATAATATTTTACAGCATAATGAATTAAGTCAAATATAAACAAATATAAGTACCCAAAGGTCAACAAATACCTTTTGATAAGAAAATCAAGTATTACGAGACAATGAAAACTCACGTAAAAATCCAAAATGAGTTAATTATATTTGTTATACACACAGTACTGATTGATCCCAAGCCCTTTATATTATATAAAATCTATCCAATTCCTATCCAAGAACTTACCATTAGGAATAGGTATCCTTACCCATTACTTACTACGGACATTGACTTCAATACTTTATGGGAATGCCCAAAAGTCGAAAATGTTTATCTTTGTAATCAAGAAGAGCTCAAGCAAAAAGAATATCCTGTATCTATGACCTGATTACTGACCTACCACAACAATGTTCTTTGAAATATGAGAAACCAATACTGAGACAACTCCCGAATGGACAACTATTAGCCATCCCTAAAAAAAGTCTGATGATTGTTACCCAATGTGACAAGACAAACCATAAGGAGATTAGGTATAACCAATCCAAGGCTAGTTTCTTTTGAAAAATGCTTTGTAAAAATAGAAAATCAAACATTTTCAAAAACCAGCGAACTGAAGATTCAAAAAATAGACCTCCCTGAAATTCCAGAGAACGAAACAAAATTGGAACTTCAAGAAATCAACCAAGAAGACCTAGAAGAAGCCTTCAAGACGACGAAACAAATAGGAGTTCATAATCTCAAAGAATTGTCTTTTGAAAACTCTTATTTGAATACATATTTAAGCACAGGTTTAAGTCTTGCTATTTCAATCATAATTTTATTGTTTTACTGTTTTAGGAAGTTTGAAACTTCAGAAAAAGGTTGTGGAAATGTGCAAATTGAATTGTCTGATTTGAATACACAACAATCCACGTTTGCAACATCTTAAGGAGGGAGGAGTTATATTAACCAATTGCCACGCTATTTAATAATCAATTATCCATTTTTTATATGCTTCAATGAGGTTACCCCTCTTCTCTATGTTGTAAAGTAAACATCAAATTGCTATATCGGCTTTAAATTCTTATTTAAGCCAGCACAGTCCCATCAGGAACGTTCATTTGTTTCCAAGCTTTTGCTGTAACAATTTGACCCACATATTTTTCTCTCTCACCTCTGTATTTTAATCAATAAAATAAATGTTTTTTAAAATACAAATTTCTGAATCGAAAATATAATTTAGCCTTCTCGGGAAAGCAAAAATAAAAATTGATAATAAGTATTTTTTCTAATGATAATAGTGAACGAAATTCCTACATAAAATCAACAAAAAAACTTCATCAAGTAATCATATGT